CGGTGTTTTCCCGGGGGGGGGTGAAGATTACAGCATATTACAGCACTTTGGCAGCCAACTTTGGCATTGCAAAATAAAAAACCATCTGACACTTGACCCCCAAATACATTCCAACCACATCCCTTGCCTTGAAGGGGATTCAAAGTTCACTCCCAACGCTGGCCGCTAGACTTGTGCACTTGCCGGGTTATACACATGCCAGTGTCTGACCTGCGTGTCGGTAACTTTGAGACTCTTTAAGGCCGTGAATACATACATGTGGGGAAAAACCACAACTTCCCAGAAATTGTTTGGCAGGGTAAGAACTGTGCCAACATCTCCGCAAAATGGTTGGGGTCAGATTGCCACGTCTCCTGCAGTTCAGGATCATTCATGAATCATTACAAGGTCATGCAACATCCCACGCATCCACCTCCAAAAACACACACGCACATTGATGAGCGTAGCCGTACCCAAACTCCATCTTCACCACTTGGGAATTTCCGGAGATCAACTTAACAAAAGAAAACCTATAATTCAGGCAATCTTGAGCCCTCAGCTCCAATGTAAGTAGTCAATGTGAAGCATCCAGCTGTACAGCATCCTTTCGGTAGAGGTAAAGCAACCGAAAGAAAACCACTCCCATCGACAACCGAAGGGAAACACACCAACATCGCCATCGAATCGGACCGAATGGGACCTGGACGTCGAATCATCCGGAGCGGGTCGTCTGGTCTTCTTTCGGCCTTCCACGGCTTGTAGCATGGCCGCCAGCTCGGTCATGTCCTGAAGGGAGGTTTGCTCGGTCGAACTGACCTTCAGCAGTTTCTGATCAGTATTCTAATAAAGGTTTTTGCAGGGGAAAAGGAATACCCTTCGATCTGGAGGTCTTTTGAATTTTTCATACGAGTCTAATAAATGATTTTATATAAAGTTTTTTCTGGATGACTTTTTGGTTTTGAAGCTCTTCCCCGGTGACCCTATGTTTCTCTTAATTATAGGGGGGGGCCTTGTTTTTTAATAGGTGGACCGGATTATATGTTCACCCTTGTGCACCTCAAAGCCATGTGGGTCATATATGTGGGTCATGGCGAGTCATGGCACCCATGCTAATTTATGTCAATGAACGGATTCCTGTCTAAGGCTAAGGGGTGTCAACCTGCTGAGGGAGGTTTTGACTTCCTCACAGCCTTGTCTCAGCCGAGATACAAGTCTTTTCTTTTCTACTAACACCTTTCGCAAGTAAGTCGCTGAACCGACCAAACACACGCAACAACAAACAAAACGGTCCCGGCGCATTCCAACACGTTCACGAAATGGACACCGCGTCGGTCGACCTCCACCAGCATCGGGGCCTCGGACTCCACCGCTGTCTCCAGGAGTTGCATCAGGTACTGCGCGCGGAGCATCTGCAGCAGCTCTTCGGCCTCACGGCCCGGCCGCAGACGCGAGGCGAAGCGGTGTGGATGGGCGAGGCCCGGACGCGAGGCCGAGGCGAAGCAAAGGTAGTTGGATGTTTCGGGGTATTTGGCGGGCTTTCGGCCAGTGGGGTTGGACTGAGACAGTGTGAGTCAATGTGAGTGTGAGTGGCTCTTGTAAGTCAAAGATATTCCAAAAGTACTTTGAGCGAGTTGTAGCCAGGTTCTGGAACGCAACCCCAATCAGGCAAGCCAGTCCCATGGAGTGTCGGATCGTGGGCATCGGCCCTCGGTAGCCCAGTGGCCACCCTGGCAGCTCCGGCCCTCCAGAGGGCCGTGTCAGGCAGTGGCTGCCGCAGGGTGATCGATCCCCATGGGATACTATAGGCAACACATGATCCCCGTGAAGCTCTCCAAGTGCAACAAAAGGATAGATCTTCGCCTCAAAACATGCCACACACCAAGTTTGAGCAAAATGGTGAACACCTCTCCAAGGCACACGGCTTCCACACGGCGCACTCGCGCACCAACCGGGCCCCACCAGAGGCACCACGAAGCCCACGAAGCCCACCACAAAACTTTCTCCGCAGGGGCCCAGTGCCCTCAAGCTCCAAGTTCCGGCTCCGCCTCGGTAATCTCCTGCTGCGACGTCTCCGCGTGGATCGCCTCCGCAATGGCTTTCGCCTCCGCCACGGCGACGGTGACGCCCACGGCCCGCTTGGTCCGAACCCTGAAGACGCTATGGTCCGGTCCAAAGACTAGGTACACAAGAGTTCGCCGGTCGGAAGCTTGTGGGTCAAATTGGTGTTAATTAAACATGCTTTTGACCACTTCCTGGTAACAAAACGAGGGGCACTACGATTATAATATAAATATAGAGCATATATACTTGCAACCTCAAATGATCAAACATAATGGCGCATTCTGCACTAGACGTCTTTCAGGGAAAAGAAGCAAACATCACTTGAAATGCACGTTTTCTGATTGTAGCCATTTTTGACAGTATTGGGTGGCATTTTCCCACTTCCAACGCCTGTCATACGTTGACAAATGAGAACATGCAGCTATAAAATACCTTTGTGGGTCGAAGGGTGTGTCCATCCCAGAGGAATGGCGCCCGCTGCTCCCTCAAGAGATTTGGAGTTTGTCAAACTGCCAGGGCTTCATTTTGTGGAAGAAATTCACCTCGTGACAAAACTTTCTACCCGGAAATTCCCATCAAATACACGCCTGTACCCATCCAATACATGTCTTTTCCCATCCTATACACGTCTTTCCGTCCAATACACTAGCCTGCAGTTACGAAGCTTATGAATCTGTGGTGGGACATGCTAGCAGGATATGTCAGAGAGTGAGCTCAAGAACTGCAAGCCACAGTGTGCTAGACCAGATCCGTATCAAAATACATGGGAGATCCTGAAGTTGAACTGGAGGCGCAGGCGCCGGCGCAAGTGACAAGCAGGGCCTTCTTGTGTGCTTCAAGACATGACCATGCTCACAGAACTGCGCAATGTTGTTTTCAAAATGCGCAGATTTCTTGAGAGTGCACGGAAATCTCCTCCAAAATCAAGTACACACGTGTGTTTTGTGTTTTTTTTAAAATCAACATGAAGATGTATATTTGCACAACATGAGCAGCGGCGGCGCTGGCCCAATCGAGCTTCCGGAATATGTTAGACACGTGCGCAAGCACTCGCCTCTGTGAAAACTGCCACCGCAGCACTGCAGAGAACTTCGAGACGTGAGAGTGAGAGGAGCTTAAGCACCCACTCCCTGCTGAGTGAGCCTCTGTGTGTTGTTGCTTTCAGCATCAGAAACAACACAGTGCACCAAGTGAATGAACATCAGCACTGACATACATATTTTGGCTACGGTTGTACAAAGGACCGACATCAAAGCTGCCAGGCAAAACACTGCATATGCAGCACACTGGAAAAAACATGGCACAACTTGAAGCGGTCTTTGAGTATCAATGTGCACAGTGACTTCAAAAGTTTCCGTGGGTGGGAGGCCCAGTGGGAGGAATGACTGGAAGGATGTCAATCCAAAAATTGAACACCAAAAATACACCCAGCTGAAGGAAAAGCCCATAGCAACTGCAGCAGTGAAGCTAGATGTGATCCACCAGCTTATGTAACACGTATCATGTAACAACAGTCTTGATTCGCTTCTTTCAGCGATTGAACCACCGAGAAAAACTTTGCCTGTCGCCTGAGCCTGCACACAACCCCAAATGCCCCAAAATATCCGAATTGGGCTCCGCCGACATCTCAGATGTCGCTGCGAAGGGCCCTAGAGCTGCTCCCCCGCCCCCGCGCACCAACTCGGCAAGCGCGATGTCGGTGAGCTCATCTGCAGCCTGGCCTGAGCATGCGCAGTCGTCCAGTAGACCGCGAACGATGGAAGTCTTTCCAAATCCGGTTGGGAAGTCAAACAAACCGGGAGACTCTCCGCACCACGGAGAGGGCGGCGTTCTGATAGTCTATATAGTTCTTAGGCTCAATAGAATCATTCTGAATCATTCTTCACCACAAGCTCCTCCACCACCATCTCAACACATCCGACCATCGGAGTGCTCTGGACGGTCGAACGCCGGATGCCTGGTAGGTCCCGGTTTGGGGGAGCGGAGCTCCGTCTGAGACGGCAGACCGTGGACAAAAGCAGGTTTGCCATCCAAAGTCGACCGGATCTGACCGACATCGGACGGGGAGGCTTTTACACCATGCTTCATGCAAGAGGTGACCAAAGTCTGTGCATAATTTTTTTGATGCTTCATACCTAGCACTTCCAACGGGTGCCCAATGGAGACCTGTAAGTAGGGTAGGGTAGTCTGTTGGACACCCATTGGATGATACTGGTAGAGAAAGTTTCTTTTCAGATTTTTTCAGTTTCAACACTCGTCACCGAGTTTTTTTGATTTTCAGGTCATTTCGGAACAACAGCCCATATGAAAGGCTATAATGCATAATACCCAACCCCAGAATTCTTAGGCTGAATTCATCAGCCCTTGGGATTCGATAGGCCGATCGCAAGGCGTGGCTTTTCTGACGATCGGCCTGGTTCAGGTGCGCAGGAACCTGGATGAACCTGCTCGTTATGTCGGCGTTTCCGATTTCACCCATTTCGATGCCTGTGAACTGAGAGTGCGAAAATCTGAACTCAGAAAATGGGTCCCAAAAAGGGCACCGTAATTTGTTTGACTCCTTTTTCAACCAAATTCCATTCCGCATGGGTTCGTGTGGCACCCTTTCGGACAATGGCTGGTTCCCACCCCGCCCCCTCGAGCATCCCGCGTCCGGCAATGATCAAGCGCTCTAAGGCTTGCGACTGCCTCAGTGGGACTACGGCAGGCAAAACATCTGCACTGAAGACCCAAACAGGTCTGGTCTGGTAGAGGCATAGGCATCTTAGCACGGGATGACTGAATATACTGCCCGCTTATACCCGGGTTATATAATTTCCCAAACGCTCTTGACACACCCAGACCAACCACTTGGGGTGAGTGAAAGCTTCAGGATGTTGCTAGGAACACGACCTGTGAGTTCCCATCGAGTGTCATGGACAAGTGTCTCTCCTCAAAAGAACATGCCTCAACCACTAAAAGCATCTTATAAAAGCCATCAAGTACCTGACGTATATTTCCTGGGGTTTGTATCACTTGCACTCTGACTCCGACTCTAGCTAGTCTCTTGCCTGTCTGGGACCCCGCGGTCGCTTCGGACCTTTTTCTTTCAAAACCATCGGTTCTGCCGCGCATTGATCCTCAGCACATCCGTGGCTTGGCGCCATCCAATGAGCGACCGTTCCGTTTCCCAATTGATAGTTAAGCTCTCTGATGGGTACAAGTCCACGCGCGAGATGCTTGGTCAGGAATTACTAAAGGTTCTTCCAGAAAGTGCCAAACAAAAACCAAATCCATGATAGCCTAGGGCTACCCAGCCATTCACTAACATGGAAGTGGAGTTACCAGCGCCATGCAGCCCGACGACAACCAAGACTGAAGCCGTTAAGCCCATGTTGTTCAGAGATGTTCAGAGTTTCTTTCACCTCAAGTCACCCGCAAAAAAAGAACATGGCTTGCGGGTGGGGACAGCCCCAAAGTTGGATGGCCAGAAGCTGGACAAATGGATTACACTCCTGAAAGGTTCACACGAAACCTGAAACGAGGAAGAGGGGCCACTTGTCCTGACTCATGTGAGTGTTTCATCCTTTTTCGTCCAATCCCCCAAGTTGGGTGACCGTGACCGAGCCGAAACCGTCCGAACACCGTGACCGAGCCGAACCCTTCTTCGGCTCTTTTTTCGGTGCTCCCCGAGAATTCACCGGCCGGATCGGACCGGACCAGCCGACCAGGGCTCTGCTTGGCCAAATTCAGAAACTCGTCGGCGTCCTCGGCCATGCGCTGCGAACGGTTGGCCAGGCTGTTCATCTTCTCACCCCGCTCCAGGGCGCGCTGGGTGGTCTGCGCCAGCTCATCTCCTGAGGAAAGCGATGGGTCCTTGAAGGGGTCTTAGGGTCTTCTGGCTTCGTGCAGGTGGAGTGGGTGGGCGGCTGTCTCGGTGATCGCAGGATGTCGCGAGGCTTGTGACCTCTTCCATTGATTTGAGATATCTTGCAGAAGTATCTGAGTCTGGGCTGAACATGTTTGCTTTCATCATCTTCATCAGTTCCTAACATAACTGGGTCGAAGAAGTCCTATCATCGATAAATTACAAAGTGGCAGGATGGCCGGCTGGAAAACTGCTTGGGGCATGCGGCATGTATTACGGGATATGGGAGGGTATGTTCCTCTTCTTTAAGCTGGTCAATTCATGCCTTCGGACGAGCTCAGTTGCATCACGTTACTCTCGGCCACTCCAAGCAGTTCCGAAGGGGTGCCCATCTTGGACGAGCTCGGGCTTCCCTGATCCACGGCCCCTGGATGGGACTCAAAACCATTCCGACATGGAACTGGCGGATGATGACCAGGCTCGCTGTTTGAGGATCGAAATCTCGGTATAACTTCTGAGGGCGGCCCTCGAACAGATCACCAAGAAAACAACAAACATCCTCATCACTGGCACTTCCTGTTCTCAATGCCCCGTCAAGTGCTTCAAGTTGGTGGCACTTTATGAATCAATCCTCACCACAATCTCTAAGTCTTCCCCTCATCCATCCCCCTCCATTCTGCCCAAGTGTCTCACATTGGCTGCTGCACGCTCAGCCGGCGCGGCACCTTTGGCCGCGCCCGCCGCACTGGCTGCGGTGCCCGCTGCGGTGCCCGCCCGCGCCGGTGGATCTTTGGGACGGAGGTCGCGCCAGGCTGGAGGCAGTCCGCGCAGCTGGTCCTCAAAGGCGGACGGAGTGAAGGTCCAGACTTCCGAGCTGGCCGGAGTGTCCGCAGGTGCGTGGGGTGTGAAGTATCTGCCCTATAGACATCCATCCATGAATGGTCTGTGTAGAAGTTGATGATGTAAACGTCGATTCATTGGTTCTCGTGAAGCAGTTTTCCGTCCAAAGGGCTTGGTTTGGAGATACTACGACCTTGAACTTGTCCATTGCCCTCCGACTAACCATCTCAAACATCCCCTATAGGGTCCGAGATCAGGGCATTTCCAAAAGCCTTCGATTTCCACTTGCTGCTTGGCACTCCAACTGAAGATGTCACCTCCGCTTTGACAGCCACTCCGGGCCACTCCTCACATCTCCTCACCACACCAACCCCACATGTTTCGTTCCAAATTGTCCAATCCATGGAGCCATGGAGTCACAAAAGGGTGGTGTTTAGTCCCCAGTGAGTGTGGATAGTTCTGGACACCCCACGGTCGCCCCGGTTTGACCGGTCAAGCAGCCGCGCGGTCGCCGTCCACCTCCGCCGGTCGGGCTCGCTCGCCCAGGAGCACCGCGCGTAGCGGGGGACCGCCGCGGTCCGCCTCGCCGCGGAGCAGCGCCATGGCGTGACCGAACCTGAGCGTCGCAGCGCCGTCGGAACGGCCCGAAAGGTCATTGCCATATTCCCCAGAGAGCGACCGAGCTATATGACGTAGATCGACGACGTGATTTAACATTTAGTTGTTTTGCAGTCACTTGCTTGGGCAGCCACTTGCTTGGGCCACTGGTCACCAGAGTGCTCGCAAACAGCTTTCAAGTGCCCAAGCAAGTGGCTGCAACATGGAAAATCACAATGCGCAGGACGAGCTCAATGCACTATTCCCTACAAGTCCAGTCTGACCCAGTAAAACCTGTTTTTTTTAAATGTCTTTTACCTCCCCGAGTCATGTTTGTATGACCAGGTCCCGTAAATCAGTTGATACCTGATTCAATGTGTCTGAATTTTTATGATATATTTTCCTCAGGATGGGGAAGGCCTCCGGATGAGTGTGAAGAAGGATAATTACGTTCATCGTGGATTGTGATGGTCAAATTGCAGTCATTTCTCTTCTCATATAAATCTTGCTGACCTGGGAATGGGCTACACCCTACAAGTTGAAGAACTGGGAGAATCTTCCAACGTTCCCCTCTCAATAGGCGGGAAGTGATTTCAAGAGCAGGATCCAGCCCAACAAATTGATTCAACACGAAACATGTCTTCTCTTCTCCGACGCTTACACCAAAACGAAACAGTTCCACGACCAAATATGGGGTCTGGGAACCGCCAATACGCAGCAAAGGACTCGTGATGGACAAGTGTCAAATCCTCCATTCTCCTCACTCTTCCACTTGAGCCACTTCCATCCAATCCTAGTAGCATGCCGCTGCTCTGGCTGCCAGTGCTTGTCGCCGCAGCAGCGGGGAGCGAGGACTCGTCCTTGCCCTCGGCTGAATGATACGCAGCAGGACCCCATGGTTGCGGTTGATGGACGGACACCCCTTAAGGCTCAAAGGGCAATAGACTGACTCAAAGGGCAACACCCCTTCAGGGCCCTTGGTACTGTTCCATCCTCCGAAACAGGGATCGCTCTGGGGAGGGGTTGAGGCGTGTTTTGAGCACAGGTCGGTCAAGCCAAGTAAATACATTTATTGTAAAGCTAGGCGCACGAAAAATCATCCAAAATAGACATACCCTTTTCAATCTCTCCGTAGCTGGAGCCTCCCAAGTCGAATTCATGCCGCTTGGTGGAAGCAAAGCAAGCCAAAAGGCCTAAACCCACTTCTTTGGGCCGCACACGGCCGCACAGGTTCCCTCACCACCTACCGCCAACCTCTGGCACCGCGTGGCACGCCGCGGGTTCCGCCTATCAGCTCCAAGCCTCTCCCAAGGCCTCCGCGAGCGCTGCAGACCTCCACGCAGCCTTCGGCGCGACCGCGACGGGGTTCCCGGCCAGGCCGCAAAGGCGCAAATGGTGCCCGGAACGGCTGCGGAGCAGCATGAGGCCGTTAGGGCACAGGTAGCCTGGCCACGGACACACATTTCCGCCAAAAACACGACCTGACCACGGACGATGGGTCTGAAAAATCCTCGGCATCCCGATGCAGTCGGGCATGACATGGGGTTGGTTGTCAAGGTATGTCCAAAAGGCGGCCAAAAGGCGCCGGATTCAGAGGTCTGGGATGGGGTGGCGGGTTGGATCTTCTGTGGTAAAAGGTGGAAAAGCCGGAGCAATCCAATTTGTTTGGTCCCTCCACCCCGCCCCAAAGACTCACATAGACCACGAAATCCCCCCTGCGCTAGCTTGTCAAACAAGTAGAGCCGGTCAGACTGCCGGTCAGTTTGGACTATCGTGGTCCATGACCATGCGCTCTCTTTTTCGGCAATCATGGGAATCGGGTCGACGCGTCCCAACGTTCGTACGGTCTGCACGCTTGGCACCTGCATCCACTCGCGCTGCGTCTCGATGCAGCGGGAGAGAGGCCACCAAATGGAGGCCAGGCAAGGCCCAAAGCTCCAGGGTGTCCCCACAGAAGGTCTGCAGAGTAAGTGAAACCGGGACGTTTGTTGGAGTCAAAACATGGAGTGCCGATTTCATCATTTGGGGCCTTGGTTGAGGCTTGTCCATGGCGCCATATCAATACTGATCCACGTAGGAAACCCTGCGAAGGTAAAAACTGATTGCAGTGCCAGGGATGGATATGGATTCATGGATTGCTGGGCGTTCTTTCTTGCATTGCGTGGGAACTCATATTATATAAGAAATCTATAGCAATCCAAAACACATCGGGACAAGCGAGTTCGTTCGGATCAAACATCGCAATTGCAGCAATCAATCAAAATCTACCAAACTTGGAAATTCAGCCCCAAAATGGACACTTGCAGCATTTGGTCCCAAGTTCTCGCTAGATCTGTAGCTGGAAGGTGTTGCAGGGGTCTACTTTTCTCAAACCCCTGCTAGAGACACAAGGAACCTTCAGGAAAGTGTGATCAAATGAATATGCGTCGTGTTCGTTGGACGAACGGGTTCGGGTGGACAATACTACAAAGCTACTGACCATCCTGACCACGTCACTTGGGGATCTAAGTGCAAAGCCATACCGTTCAAGTGGATCCGTTCAAGCTGACTGAACTATACAAAAGAAACGCCGGGCCCCTACCAGAATAACTTGACCTCTCCAATTTAGGGGCTTTTCTGAAAATCACCAGTACAACCTCAAGCTTAAGCCCCATCCTTCAGGGGCTGCCTATGGCGGCCAGGACCACCAGGACCAGGTGCCACTTCTTCTATGGCGACCATGTCGAGGGGCAAAGAAACAGCTCTCTCCAGCCATCTCGCAGAGCTCCGCGCACATGGCACGCTTTGAGAACCTGGCCTGTCCTGGGACGCACGGAGTCCGGACGGACGGGCGGGGAGTCGGACGCTGAACGCATGGGTCGCAGGATCGATGTAGCTGCAAGCATGTAGCATGGGGGGAGACTGCCTCAACACAGGTGGACCTAGCCTGTAACATGAGGCTGAGGGTCACAGGTGGACCTAGCTAAAACACCTTCCAACGGTCAAGCATGGTCATCCCTCCAATTCGCCACCACTTCGGAAGGAAGTTCGTTCGCTCCGATTCGCCCACCCCTCCGGTTCGGAGCTCTGCTGAGCGACCCGAAGACACCAGTTGTAGCTGGTCCGAGCGGTCTCCTTGGCACATCGGGTCGAAAACCCGACAGCGTCCGGCGTGAGGGTCCCAATTGGTGTACCCCCGCCGATTTGCCGATTTGAACAGGGGTGACGGGTGTCCCGGTCTGGTTCTGATGGTGTGCCTGGCAGCTGTGTCGGTCTGAATGTGGATCCCATTCTGAATGCGGTTCTACAAGGAAAGTTCCCATCATGAAATCAGGCACTGGACATTGACCAGGAAATTTTGGATGCTCTGGTTGACATTTGGACATGTCACTCCCTAAGGTGTGTGATTTTCACGCAAAACATGATCTGATTCGTTGCTCATCTCTGCAGCAGCAGCAGCAACAACAACAGTAGTGACAATTGGGTCGATGCTGGGGAACACTCCACATGGAGCATTGCACAAGAAAAGGTTTTCCTTTCAAACCTTACAGTTCACATCCAGCTTGAACATGGACGATCACAAAGGCTGCCCCGAAAAGATTCTCCTCCAAGAGAAAACCCCGTTGTCTGTGAGGTGAGGTTCCAGGTATGTGACTTGGATTTGCTCAAGGAACCTGGAAAAATACATCCCAGAAGTGATTCAACATGATTAACCTTAGGGAAAATGAAAAAACACTCCCTTAAGCAAAGCCCGGGTGACCTGTGTAGGTACTAAAGAGCACCGAAACGCTTGAACGGGTATGGTCTTCGCTGGGTCCAACTGTCACGTCCGTGTTGGGTCACTTCCGTAAAAGCGACTTGTTCGACTGGCAGACCTCACCTTGCTCCATTGAGCCTTGCAAGTCATTGGTCGAGACTAAGAAAAGACTAACAAAAATACAACTGGGACTGGAGGAGGATCACTATAAAGGCCTACTAATACCTTTATTTATTAACCATCTGCCATGGATCCACTGCTTCTGACGACAGAAAATAATTATTGGAGTCTCTGGTATGATGATTTGGCAGCCATTGGCGGACATTAGCACACGAGCTCTGAGGGTAGAGAGACTCGAAACACCGTCCGCCCACCGAGGTTGCTGCCAAAGCTGCGTGTGAAGAGGCTAGCGCCAGTGGCCTGCACCACCAGCAGAAAGGCCTGCGTGGTGTGGATGCGTACGATCGGCAACTGCGGAAGGCTTCGCTTTGGGGCTTGGATTGTCAGGGAGTTGGAGCAAGTGGATTTCTGGAGTTGGAGCAAGTGGATCTGGGAACTCCATGACTATGATTCCGTGTTTTTTATGTTTTTTGTGTCTTTTGGGGGCCTGCCTACCGAATGAAGACTGCTTGCCTACACAGCATGAGCGACCCAAAAACCTCTGTCGCCTCCGTGAGCTTCAGCAGCAGCACACGGCCACAGCCGCCCAGCAGCTGCGGAAGCCGCGTCTCGCGGATGCCTCACGGGGCGGTGGGACAGGACCCTCCCAGAAAAATTGTGAATTGTTGCCTTTTGGGGCTCACGAGGCTCCCAAACAAGCCCATGAATTCTTAGCGAGCACGAATCAATGGGTTTTCACACTATAAAACATCGTCCAACGCCCGGGTCCACACAAACCAACCACCACGTCAAGGCACCCCTCGGACAGGGAACATGTGGTTCACCTTTCTTGGGCACATTTGTTGGGCGTGACAGATCCCACCTCGGTGATTGACAATCACTGCAGTAAGTGAACTAAATCTAACGTGTAGGCGCGTAGCCCGCATGCGACTGTTGAGATGGAATTCTGGAGTGGGGTTCGTAGCCGGCAACTGTCCAAACCCAATCACAAACGAAACATCACACAAAAAACCCTCTCCTAACTCACAAAAAGCACCATAACAGAGCTTGTATTTTTTTGCAACCAGTTTACTGTTGGGGTTCTCTCTTAAGAAAAACAGCTGGCCACACTGGCCGCGCCACTGAACTCTGTGTCCGGGTCTTGTCCTCCTCTTGTCCTGTCGTTATCCTCTGGCCGCACTGGCCAACCCTCTGTCCTCCTCTTGTCCTTCTCTTGTCCTCCTGCTGCTTGCTTGCAGTTGTCTTGCTGTTGTCCTCTGAACCCTGTGTCCTCCTCTTGTCCTCTTGTCCTCCTGGCGCTTGCAATTGTCCTGCTGTTATCCTGTCCGGTCACAGCTTGTCCTTGTGTTGTTTCCCTTCTCTGATCCTTTTGTCCTCTGTCATCCTCCTCATGTCCTTCTCTGGTCTTTCTGTTGTCCTGCTGCTGTCTTGCTGTTTCCGTTCCTCCTTTCCAAGGCAGGCGCTGGGCCTGCGGCCGCCCACCACAACAACAATTCTTGCCGACTAAGCTGTTTGGGGTCTATATGCTGGTATAATAAGTTAAAATACATCAACGGTCTACATTTACCTGCCAAGGTCTCAACCCCACCCCATTCTCTCCACCGGAAAACCATCCGATCGCTCCCAAGACAACCGAGCCGCGGCTGTCCAGCAGCCGGAACTCCGCCGCGTGGGCGGCCAGCTGTCGCAGCTGTCCGCTGGACAAGGCCACCAGCACAGCACCAGTGGATTGCCCAGGTGGTCCATTTGGATCGTTGGGGGGAGTTGGCGATAGGCGCACGGCCTGGGCAGGTGGGAAGAAACTGTCCGTGGACGGGGTCCCTTGCGGACCTTTAAATGGGATAGGAAAGAGCATGCGTACCGCATACTGGGATCCGCGGAGGTCAACAACTGAAACAACCGACCAAAAACAACATGTACAACATCAACCCACTATTTTCTTTAACTTGCCTATAAGTTTGCTGACCCCCACCCACACCACAACGTCACACACTTGGGGCTCCATCACTCCACCAGCCTCGTGTTCACGCCCTGTCGCGGAAGCTGTTGCAGCTTGGAGGATGCAACTGGAGAAGTCCACCTGAACGTGGCGCGACATGGCATTTTTTCGCTCGATTCCCGTCGGGCTTAGGGGTTGCTGAAAGCTTTAACCCTGAAAAACCGGAAGGTCGAAAGCCGAAAGCCTGACTGGTGCGTATATAACAAAAAAGGGAAGTTTTTGCCCCTGTCTAGAGATCCATACACCCTCATTCCCTATGAGCCGCACAAGTCAGGAAGCCAGGCAGGCGTTTTAGGGGGGTGCGCGTCCAACCCTAAGAATTTTCCACTTGAACCCGAAGACTCCGTTGAAACCCAAACCTTCAGATGTTTGGGGGTTCGAGCTCCAAATTTCCCGCAACCTCCGTGGATCCATGATTTAACGAGTGCGAAACAGGTGTGATGTGGTCCAGCCTACCTGAAATGGCTGACAACCTGGAATGTAGGCAAACGTATATATATATATATATTTATATTTATTTAACTATATATGCACCCCCCCAAAGCACAACACAATCACACTTACACACACTTAGATCCATGCTCGCAAGAGCTCTATCAGTTTTGAACTCCCATGCGTTAGCCCTTTAAGTAAATACTCAGCGTTTGACTAAAGTGAAGAGTCGGCTCAACAGAAGGTTTCAACAACCGCTCACTAGCGCTTTACAAGGAGAAGTAGGGAGACAGCTTGTGAACGGCACAACCGGAAGGAGGAAAGACGTGGTCACAAGCTGCGTCGTATAATGCACCCAGGTGCCCCACGGTTGTAGGTACGTTTACCTGGGTGTGGAGCTTTGTTGGCAGAGGCCACGGCTGGAGATCCACCGGGTGGTTGTCAGACTGATTGCATATTTGTTTTGATGAACTAGTTTGATGCCCTGTGAAGCAGGTGGAAGACACCTTTGTGTCTTATGAAGAAGGGACAATGCGCAGCGGAATCGTGGATGCGAACGGGGCACGCAGGTTATTTCCCATGAGCAAAGTGCGCCGGTGGCGACCCAGAGATCGGCATTCTTGCGCTAGTACTCATACTGGGCTGAGCGCGAGCGTAGTTTGGAGCTTGCCAATGCCACTTGCCGTTCTTCTTGACCCGCTGTTTTGGCATGGATCATGAATCACCCCTGGAACTCAGGACTTTGCATTTGTAGCTCGGAACTCCTCGCTTGTGATGGAGGTGCAGGAACCATCTGCAGGTTCATCATCTTGGCCCAAGTCATTGGATGCATACGCTCTCATGCAACTACTGGTGAGCTTTGCATCAGAAAGACTGCAGGTTGGCCATGGAGATGTTACGAGATGTTCTTGCGGTTGGGTTCATCGAGGAAAATATATCATACACATAGGCCCCATAGGCCACTTGGTGTTGAAAGTTGTCGAGTCCGGTCACCCTGTAATGAGACTCGGACAGTCCTCCTTGATGTTCATCAGAATCCATGTGTACTGTTCACTGTTGGCATCAGTTTCTGGAGCTGGTGAATTGTCATTGATAAAAGACATGACTTGGAGGAGGCTCCCAGCATCGCCTGCGCCTCCGAATTGGTCACTGTGCTAGTGCACATGGTGTCCAGGCAGTCTGCACAACAAGGATTGGAAAGCCTTCTTGACTGCACGTGTTGCCATCGTGTTCTTGAAGGTGACATACTTGATCACATCCAACTGCCCGTTGCCTTTGTCCATGACGACGTCCCCAACTGTGGAGTCAGCTGGCCGAGATTCTGCAACATGCAGGGTGGCCGACAAGCTCGCAAGCTTTTTTTGCTCCTTCAAGGCCAAAGCAACACCACGAGGAGACCCACAGTCGCTCACCAGTTGCACATCCAAGATCATGACAGTGCTCTTGACACCACAAGGCTGGCGACAACAGGACAAGAACTCTTCCACTCTCAGGGGCGCCTCAATGTCACCTGACGTCTTGACCTCGCAACGAGGAAAAGGATGACTGTCAAGTCGCCACTCCTTCCCACCGTAGCTGCGAACGCATGGCCTCGTCAATGAAGGAATTTGCCATGGATGGCAGTATGGAATTGAAGAAACTGAAGAGCCTGGAGACACTTGCCCGTCTAGCTTAGATGCTGCTAGATGGGACGATCCACATCCTCGTCATCCTCCGGCATGGGCGACCTTGGAGCATCCCAGAGGCGCGGCAGGATTCAAAGGGTCCCACACCTGGGTTTGGGATGTGCTCCTCGTCATCACTGGTGCCTGTGGGCCCCAAGCAGAGGAGGAAGAAGAGTCCGTAGAGCTTGAGCTGATAGACGATGATCCATCAGGCACTCGGTCCTCCAAAGCCGGCAAGACCTTAGCATCGAGGACATGAAAAAAGACGGGACGCATGGACACGCTCAAGGCAAACTAACTTGTCAGCTTCTAGCTTATTAATACAGTGAGCACTAGCACGCGCAGGGTCAGCCATACCAACAATTGACAGCTTCGACATGAGCCCGACAGGACTGAGTCTCAGCCCTTTTCCATGTTGCATACCATGGCAGCCAAGTGCTTCCGCAGTACAGGCTGCCTCGACTCATGAACAGGCACCTCTCCAGCCATGACCTGCTCCAGTAAGCCTTGTATAGGCCTTGTGGAGGTTTTGGGGACTGACCAAGCGGTGTCACAAACAGCACAACAACAGCCGGTGAAATATGACTTTGTGTTTTTCTATTTTTTTGGGGGGTACCACACATATAATATATATATGCCAGTTCCCATGGATGGTCTGGACTGTAAACTGTTAGAGCAGTTACCTTCATAGATGGTGTGTGCAAGACAAGATGTTGAGGATTTTTTAGGTGCCCTGCTATTGCTCCTCAAATCACCGGCGTTCTCAAGGACAAATGGCATCCAAAAAGGCATGCCAAACAAACGCACGATCAGTGTTTCCATCGTGATTTTCACAGTTCTGGCCAAATATAAGTAACATTCATAATTCATATCATTCAAAATCATACAAACTTCTTGTTCTGTTGGTTCTGCCAGTTCTGTGACCGCTAGTGTGGTTCCTGTATGTTCCTGTCGGCTGGCTTCAAAGCTTCTCTCTTTGGCCCAGCGGCAGCTTCCACTGTCTCCGGCGGTGGCGCCGGGCCGCTGGAGCGGTTGCCGATGGCGAAGGACGACGCAAACCTCGGCGCGGACGACCGGTTTCGGCCCTCCGACCACTGGACTGGACTGAGTCGCGAATAGTCGCGACGTCTACTAGCACAATACCATAAATACAGTATTGTACTGTACCAAAAAACACACATGACATGCACATCATCACAAATCATTTAGTATATATACATATATATATATATACACCCCCAATACCCGCTTGCTGGCCAACCATTGATTCAACTGCCAACTACTAAGGGCCTTACACTAAAGCCAGGTCGACCGTTCTTTAATGGGTCTTGGACGCCTAGGTACATGCATTGACCCGTAGAACAACTCCAATGTAGGTAAATGTTCCATACATGGAGTGTTTGGGCATTCAGTACTGACGCCCAAACAAAAGAAGGTGCTTACAGCTGTTGATTTGAGATGGCACTAACCAGTTTGACCACTCTTCGACTATATCAACCACTACTCAACATAACATAGACTCTTCGGACGCCAGCACCGGCCCTTTAGGGCCAGTCTTTGTTTTAGGGACGTCCGATCGAAGCCCCCAAGAGTGGCAAGTGAACTACCGCAAGTGGTCGGCCAAAACATACATTTACATTCTGTAACAGTATAATCAGCATACACTTATGCCAACATCCACGAAGCCGATCGAAGCCGTGTTCCCGGTAGACCTCTACCCAGCCCAGGACCGAAATTAAGCACAGTGAGGAAGAACGTGAGCCGCATCTGACATCGGCCACTCTGACACACCACGGCACAGCATCTGCCCGTTGAGGCCGTCGGTGATGCACAAGACCCCGGCGGCATCGCTGGAGCACAGCAGCAAGCGCGGGGCAGAAGACCCGTCCGCGAGGAGCTGCGGCAGGCCCGGTGGAAGTGGAGGGATCGGATGAAGGTTTTTGGGGAGGTTGGGACAGATTCATCTGAGATCATGTATGTAATAGTATATATATAATATATAGATAGGGTTATTCCCCAACTTCAAGGAAGGCTCTCAGGCTGAGAGGTGGGGGATGTTTCACGCGACCAAAGATCTTCGGCGAGTCTGGCATACCTAGGGGCATCCATGACACTCCTTGAATTTGTTTTATGGAAAAGGATGGATGACCGTTTTTCACCCAACAGGACCAAACCCATGATTATTTCAACCAATCGTTTCTGGGACTGGGCTTTTCCAATCGTTTCCGTTGTCCCCCCAACAAGAAAGTCGTGAATCGGACGATGACGGAAGTGGGGAAGTCCCGGGGGCTATGCATCTGGTGAACATCCGGAAATGGCTCAAAACAAACAAAAGAACATATACCGCATATACATAATATACCCTAGGGCTCCAAGTTGGGGTGGGTTTAAAGGGTCCAAATACCTTCTGAGGAGGTACTTGGAGCCCTAGGGGTAGACTAGTCCAACCCTGAAACATGTTCACCTACACGGCAAGCACCTGGGGAAAAACCAAACACGGCACCAGTTTTGGAAGCAAATCCTTTTTCTTCAGTGGCCAGGCCAAGTCACCTTCCATGTCAAGAACAAGCTAAAAACCGTACTCTCGTTTGGGCTTAAGTCGCTTCACTACAAAGAATCATCTAACGCCTGGAGCAATGACATGCTCTTGCCAAAACAATTCCGCCTTCCAGCATCTTCCATTGAACAACTTTCAGGATGGGTTGGTTTCAGCACACAACATACTCCAAAAAGCAGTTCCAAAGGGGTATCCACCCACTCAAGCAGGGACTCAAATCCATTCCGACATGGAACCGCTGGCAGCTACACGCCAGCGGCCGGCCATCCGTGCCTCCCCCCCCACTGGCCTTCAGATGATTGATGCCCACCTGATGCTGTCGCAGGCGCATGGCACACACAAAGCCGTACGTGTGGAGGTCGGTGGGCGCGGGGCAGTCGGCCTCCGAAGTGGCACAAGCCCCCGACAGGAGAGGATGTCGGAGGGATGTTGTGGCCTTTCTGAGGTCTAAGTTGGCTCAGAAAGGTCTTGAGTCAAGACTTGTCCTTCGACGAGCTGCATGGAAACAAGGTGAATTCGTGAGACTCTCGCACTGTTTTAGTATATATAGAATACAGTACACCAGAAATATATAAACCACTTGCACGGTTTTCGGAGAGAAAGAGACTTCCATGCCTGCTGAAAATACATGTTCTAATGTCTTCTATATCTGCTTCCTTCTGTGTTCCTTGGCATTTCCCCTCCCGCCCCGGCCACTCTTCCCACGACTCCGTAAGTTTTTCAAAACGCCAGCGGACTGAGCCATCGTCTGACTCCGACTTGGCAAGCAAGCTTTGGACCTGAGAAGGGGAGACGCCACTCTCCCCAACTCATGGGGATGTCGGAGCGCTCGTCTCGGCTGAACCCGAAGAAGTCGTTTGGTCATACACTCCCTGGAACTAACATGGAAGGGAGAATGACCCCGAAAGGAAGACCATTTTCCACTACAAACAGGTGGTGAACTCCACTTCCATGTTAGTTCTAGGGGGAGTAGACCCCATTTTAGATTGACAAAACACTACACGCACAGAACAATACAGGAGTGGTGAATATGCTGGAAACAAGGTGCACCGAGAAAGCAAAGATGCGGGCCTTCTGCGCAGCAAAACGCCAAAGAACCATATTCAAATCCATAGATTAACCTGAATATGGACCTTTGGAAGATTAGCTTCCCCCAAACCTGTTATTGTCAGGTTCCATGTTGATCTTCCACGGGTGTATCAAAAACAATATCAGGCAACCATGTCCAAACCAATACCATACAGTATCCAAAACTATAGCAAGCAAGCAAGAATGTCGAAACCCAGCATGCTCTTTTCCCAGTTCCCACAAAGCAACCATCTGGAACAACTCCTAGCCCCCCAACTCTCCAACATGGTCAGCTTCTGACAGGAGGTGACTTGAACCTGAGGACGTCCCTCAAAAACGACAGTCCGGTGTGACATCTTCCAATCTGCGCGCAGGTGGGTGCGATTTGTTTGATCTTCGCCCCACACGGCACACGAAAAGCTTTCGGAAGACACCCAAACCAAAACGCCAACAAGACCCATCGTCACATCCATTCTGCCTCAGTTTCCCTGGAAAAACCAATCCCCCCCAAAACCAGGGTTGAAGTACTGGTTGAAGTTTATCCATTGACTGGGCATCGAACATGCTCAAGCACTTCTGATATGTTCTTGTCACCCTTCCGCCATCGCTCCCTCACTCCTACAGATCCTACAGTGTACCACACTCTCACCTTCCTCCACCACCCTCCAGCTGCCACCGCGCCACACGCCACTCGGCCGCCTCGGAGTTGGTCAGCTTGCTCCAGCTGGGGCGCCACAAGAAGCACAGCACTTCGCCCCCGCCGGTCCCCGCCGCCACGGCCTCGGGAGGCCGGAGAGGCCGCCGTGACTACGTCCGCCTGAAAGGCTTGGAAGATGGTCGTCCAGGAAGTCGGGAAAAACACCACATCTTCCACAGCTTAGCGGATTCACCCAAAAAGGGCAATACACAATCACTTGATAAGCAAAATAAGCAACACCAGGCATGTGCTCGGAATGTGTTGCGGTCCAAAAGGCCTTGTGGCGGAGTGGGGGGTGAGTGGACTCTCAAAAACGGTCCGACGGGGATTCCGCTGCTTGGCGCATCCCGTGTGCGGCCCAGGTGCTGCGGCCATGGGGGCCAAAGCCACGGCACCTGAAAGTTTCGAACGAGCCCAGTGGTCCCCATGTGAAGTGGGGTCCAGTGATGCTAGAGGAACTGGATCTGCGATATGATCGTCATCCTGGAGTAATTAGATAGGATTCTGGCAGGTGGGCAGAGAGGGATTTTACAGATTATGATGCTTAGGAAACGGGTCCTGTCTTGGGGTTGGTTCATACTCTATCTACTCCAGGATGGTTATAATCAGAACTTCTCATCTGTGACTTGTCCGAGATGAAGAGCAAACACAATTGAGAATTCAACATCTCAGGAGTTCGATCGAAGTCTTAACCCCTGCTCCATGCAGTTGCTCCATTCAATGGTCTGTCAAGTCACTGCTTACTTCAACAAGAACCCATCCCCCAAAAAACCCTGGCCAAGTAACCAGCATCTTTCCAGAATTCCCTGACCAATGTCGACCATGAAATCGTGTACAAATCGGTGGTGTCATTCCCCCAGCCAGATGATCATTTTCAGGTATTGTATGTCGAACACAAAGGACGGTAATGCACATGCCCGCCCATACAAAATGAACCTAATGAATCATGTCCGGAGGTGTATAGACCTGGATCTTCCAACTATGCCAAATGTCTGCCTTTTGGCTGGGTTTGATGGATGAACAGGCAAACACTTGTCACAGTTTCGTCAGAGTTAGCTGAAATGACTGCAGGTCACTCAGAACCCCACCCCAAGAAGGTCAAACAGGCCAGAGGTCACAAAGGGGTGCTTATTTATGGAGGTTAGGGGTGCCCAGAACATCCACTCACTTGGGGACCAAACACCACCCCTTTGTGAGACCTGGAGGCCAGTCCCTATCTACCTGAAGAACTCGAAGACATCGCGGAGCCGCGGGCGCAACGCAGAAGCCGTGCGAAGCCGAGCGAAGTGAAACCGGCTTCCGGTTCGACGGAGACGGTTCGACGGGTCAAGGTTCATTCATTTTCACGCACAACATGTCAAACACATAGCAATGACTATGCAATTACAGTATGTTCATCCTGGATTCATCCTTCATGTTCTGGTATCGGACATCGCTTGTCGGGGGAAGCCCATCAAAGTCTCAAATATTGAAGCCAAATCACATCTTCTGCTGTACAAACCGTGTTTTGACGGTTGCTCATGAACTACATGCCGGGACCCCACTTACTTCAGATCATAATTACCCTAGAATTAACAGAAAAGTCTCAGGTACGAGCTGAGGTTAAATGTGTAACATTCATATATTTCCCATAACCAGGGCCCAGTGGATGATATCAGGTTCAGGCCGGCCTTGTTCAAAAATAGTGATGTTCTTGTTTACCGACTGCTAGAGGTTTTCCTAGGACAAACGAGCTCAACCGAAGGCACTGATGCCCCCCACAAGGTCGTCCGAGGTGGTCGCAAAGGCAGGCGCAGCGTCTATGCCTGGGAGGCCGCGGTGGGCTGTGATTGGAGGTGTCCACCCACCTGAAAACATCTGATTCTTCTATAAATTATACATAGATCTTTTCAAGGCAGAACGAAGAACAGTTTTATTCATGCTCTCTGAACATGATTGAACATGTCAACATAGCAACCATTGCTACTTCGATGGAAAAGGGTAAAAGATGGTAAAAGGGCTTCTATTTGTTTCGTTTTCTCCTCGAAACTCCGACTTCGACAGGGCGCCGTCGTAGACCAGCTGGTCTACGACGTCCCCGCTGGACGTCGCCGGCGCCGCGGTCGCCACGTCGTAGCGCGGGCGCCAGGCGTAGGGCGTCGCCGGGGGAGAGACCGAGAGCACGTGGAGCAGCACCAGGGACGACCGACGTCCTGAGCCAGGCGGAAGCGTCAAGAGACGCTTCCGCTGCACGGTGTGTAGCGGACAAAAAATCCGAGACGTTTGGAGGCATTCCGACCCCATGGTTGGTAGGGAAAATAGAGCATGGAAGTGGAGTTCGCCCCCTGTTTGTCACGGAAAGTCGTATTTCCCATGCACTTCCACGTTGATGAGTGAGAATGTAGAATCCCCAAATGCGACCTGTGTGGGATTGGAGAATTGACGAATTTAGCCGGATGGGGTTGACCGTTTGGGTGCTTGATCAGGGATTCATGTAGGGATAGATGTTTCCCGCACGGCCAGGGTGCCTGGAATCTGGCCTTTGGTGACATGTTCCACGGTCGGAAGTACTTCCGGCGTAGGTTTGTCATGCTTTCTTTCTTAAAGATCCCTTCAGTGGGACGTGACTTTGCAACTCACAAGGCATCAAACATGAAGATTGCATATTTGTAAGAAGGGCGCTGGGCAACGGAAGGGAGTTCCTCTCTGGTCATACCCGTGGGCTTGGCAGTCGAATGAACTGAGCTCCTCTACTGGCAGCGATTTGCAAAGAACTCATCTGAACATGATGGAGCCGAGAGAAGCATGAGATGTGTTGTTTGACAGGTTGCACCTGATTCTATGTGCAAACAAGGATGGCCCCTAATAGAAAAAACTCAAATCAACGTGCACTCAACAAGCACGTTCACGGAAGGGAGGTCAAAAATGGTCAAAACTCAAATCAATCACTTAGTGGGGAGGCGGAACGTCAGACGGGTGCGAAGCGGGTGGAAAGCGGGCGGAAAACGGGGAGTGCTCGTGTTCCATGAGAAGGTCGTCGAGCCAACATCACCAAAACGGGACGCCTTCAAAGCTGTTCCCATCGAGACGAACTCAATTACCCAAAAAGCAATCCAAATGGAGTCACCGACATTGCTTTAAAAAGAGGGTCAACGGAGGGTTTTTTGTTCCATACATGGATGGTCTGCGTTGCTCATTTTAAGACCATGGTACGAAGTGAAGCAAAACCAACTGCAGCTTTGGGTGTGAAATTAGGCCCATGATCTGCCTCCGCACATGCGTGATTCATCCTCTTCTAACATCAAATATCATCAAATCAACAATTCTGCAAAATGTACTTAAGCCAGTGCTTCTGGCCTGTGTGAATATTTCAAGGTGGGGAGTGCATGAGATTGCTAAACCTGTTCTGTTTGGATCACTGCAGGCGGACAGTCGGGACACTTATCACCAACCTTCTCCTTCAAAAATTTACTTGAACTGGCACAGGGCGCCTGGGCACCTGGGCACCTCCTCTCGTTTTCCAGCATTTTCCCCGTCCTCAATAACACTCCACGCACATGTGTACATATAATAACAATTTATACAGTATATATATATATACATCTAATTATATATATACGTATCATTCTGAGGGATAAGTATGCGAAGGAACACCACAACAACAACAACCACCACCACCACCCAACCAACCAACCAACCAACCAACCACCCACCCACCCACCCACCCACCCACCCAACCAACCAACCAACCAACCAACCAACCAACCCACCAACCCACCAACCCACCAACCCACCAACCCACCAACCCACCAACCAACCAACCAACCAAACAAACAAACAAACAAACAAACAACAACAAAAAAAACATCAACAACGCTAACAACACTAACAACACCACCAACAACAACAACAACACCAACAACACCAACACAACCACCACCACCAACAACAACAACAGCAACAACAACGACAGCAACCACAAACAACAAACAACAAACAACCAACAAACTACAAACAACAAACAACCAACAACCACAACAACAACAACAAACACAACCAACAACCAACAAACTACAAACAACCAACAACCAACAACAACAACAACAACAACAACAACAACAACAACAACAAACACAACAAACACAACAAACAACCAACAACCAACAAACTACAAACAACCAACAACCAACAACCACAACAACAACAGACTATTATATGTAAACCGATAGGTAACCCCTTACTCCTTCATGACCTATCCTCCAGGGCTTCGGTCTCATCCGACCCACAGACCTCATCCAAAGGGCGTAGCCAAATGCGAAGCGTCCCATCACCATGACCACCTGGGATGAGAACATGTGGCTCCAAGATGCAGGAAACTCTCAGTTGCCCCCCCCACCACACACATCCACACACTCCCCACCCAGCAATGTGCCATAATGTGCCAAGGGGGTGAGACCTATACCGGCCGTACCTCTGCCCCAGTAGTAAGGATTCAATCACCTTCCAACACCTGTCGTCTGATCTGATTCAAGGCAATCAAGGTGCGGAGCCCACCGAACCCGAAGGCGGTGTCTTTGATTCAGTGTTCCTTTTCTGCCCCCCTTTTCTTGGCAGAACGTCTCAGCAATGGAGGGTATTTTGGACTTTTTTGCCAGGGCACATGCGCACGAGGAAGTATGAGGAATTTTGGAAAGAACATCAGGAAAACCCAACATGAAGAACTTGTTGGATCCAACTTCCAAAATGCCTCCACCTTTAGAATCTTTAGACTCTCCCAAGCTGCTGGCCCACAAGCCCTCAGCATCCTCCAGTGAGAGTTCTGCTGCCAGCTCGGCCGGTGGCCCGGTCGCTTCGTGGGTGCCTTAAGGCTGTGGTTTTTCCGGATCCACAGGATCCTCCTCCGGTTTTCCGTTGGGTGCCTTTTTTGGAACAGGAACACCTGGTAGATCTAAGCACATCTAAGAAGATCCCTAAGACTACCAGGTGGCTGCTGGGGTGGGCTCGTAGGAGCCCTAAGAAGATCCCTAAATACCAAAATCAATGGCTGGGGTGGGCTCCTAGGCGGCTCGAGCAAATCAATTCAGATGCTTGATGCTCGGGTAGAAAGCTCGGCACTCCCCTCGATGAAACCACCGCACCATGACGACCTGGTGCAGGGTAGTCAAGGTGGGGCACCCCAAACGGATGGTCCTAGTAAATATGTGTCACTTAATAGATATCTGGCATTTCACTCACTCTAGAATTCTTTCTTGCTCATAAGATCTGCATGGTTTTCTTGGTCAAAGTGGGTTCCCATACCTCGATGAGGTATGAATCTCATAACGTATCGTATTAATGTAATATATGTGTTGACCCAACACCCCTTGCCGCCCCACCGGTCCCACCATTTTTTCCGCGAACGACCAAAGAAACACCCCCTCCGGGTCGGTCAACGGTCTGTGACCCCACCGAGGACCCTGACCCAACCGATCGGAGCGAACCGGGAGAAAACATCAACACATCAGGAACCCCAAAGTGGAACAACAATAGAAACAATCACAAATGACGAATGACGACCTGAGAAAAGCTCATGAGTTGGTACAGTCTTACTTATAATATCATGTCATAATGTCATATAATTAAGCAACACCGAAGACGGGTTCGCCCGTCCATCCGTTGGTCATGCCAAGGTCTGGTGGAGGCGATCTCATAGTGAAGATAAGTAAACCAGTTTCGCTCCCAACCCATAGCACGATGGAGGATGATGGGATGAGACGAGATGGGATGCGAAGTCGAGTGGAACCAAGCTGCCCTGCAGGAAGCTCTGCAAGTGCACCTTGGGAAACATGACCATGTCAGGGCTTTTTTTTCGACCAATCCTTCACCAAAGACTGAGAGGTCCTTAAGCCGCTTCAATGGACTAAGTCCATTGCCGGACCTTGCCTTTTTCACCTCCTACACAATACTCTCTTCACCCTTCTTCACCCACCTGGTGTAGGGCCCACATCTGCTGCACCCACTCCACCGGTGTCGCCACCGCGTCCATGGGCTCTGCTAGCGCCGTCTCCGGCTCGAGCGCCCTATCCGGCTCTGGCTCGAGGGGATCAGCATAGAGATGGCGCACACGGAGTTCGCCTGAAGGAGATGAGAGCATGGGACCAGAGGGTGAGTTGAGGAATAAACTTCCAGGAGTCACATGGAGGCTCGGGTGGTTTGGTTCGTCCCATCCAGGGGCTGTGGATGTGACAGGGGCACAGGCACTCCTTTTGTGACTCCAGATGTTGTTCATATCCCATGAATACCTGCTTGGGCTGCAATGTTGTAGGTATAAAGGAACCTGTGTATACTCACCGGCCACAGAATCGACCATTTTTGGGGGGCTTCTTCTCATCTGCATCTTCCCGTGGCCGGTGTGGCCATGCAGCAAGGGCCTCCCGGCTCGGTCGCTCCCGACCGGCGACCCGAGCGAGCTCTTCGAGACCCTTCCAATGCCGCTGTGCAACCACTGGCTCTGTTTTCAACGGAGAGACACCCATGGCCCAACTCTTGATATCGAAGGATCGGACAATCCCCTGTTCCACAAGGGGAAGTATAATTAGCCTTCCAAGGGACCATTTTCGACTTCCATGTTGGTAAGTCACAGTCAAAGGGTCAAGAATAATTAATACTGCGATTGGTATGTGACCATCGTATATGCGATGTAGCCCTAGGGCTCCAACTGCCTCCGTTTCGAAGATGCTTGGGGTGGGTGCCAGGGGGGCTAACCACCGAACCTGAGGATATGGCCTATTGGGCCCTAGGGTAGGTTTCGGATGGATGGTCTTGGAGAGTTGGACCCTCCACTCCCATCAGCACCTTCGCGACAGCGCCACTCCAGCACTTCAAGAGGTGATCTTGGACATGGCAATGGCAAAGGCACCTCAGCGGCTTGGAGGAGGGCAAGGACAGGGCCTTCCGGACTGCCTTCCAGATCACTTACACCCGGGAAGATGAACATGGACCCAAAGTGCTGGGGTGAATTCTGAGGGTGCATGTAACGGGTATGTCGCCACACTTTCCAGCAGAATGAATGATTCTCGGCCCTATCTACAGCCTTGCAGAGCAGCACCTTTAGGTACTAAAGCGGCTACAGCAAGCCGAATCTACAAAACCTAGCGGAACTCACCTGTATTTTGACCGTTGCCTACAAACCTGCACTCTTGGTTAATTAATCGATCGGTTTGTTTGGGAGAGTAGTTGGAAAAAAAACTCCAGCACTGCCATGGGCTGCTGGCTGGAACCGGACTGCAATATCCCCTCGACGACCCGGACATCACCTTGGGTATAGGCTGCCAAGCTACAGTAGGCAAACCCTATCAAAAGGCCCTGGATCTCTGGAGGGCAACATACACAAACAAACACGCTGATGTCAGCTGCTTGCTGGGGCACCTCATCCACTTCCAAGCTGAACAAACCGTTCTCGGTGCCCAGCTCCTCAAAGTGTGCCTGGTGCGACATGAAGAAGAACATCCTGGCATCCTCATCATCCAAAGCCCCGAACTCCCAAAACCTTTTCACGCCAAATGCCTGGGACTCCCACTCCACCGGAACCCTTCCAGTTGCTTGGAGCTGACCGGATCTAGGCAGGGGGACTCTTCCAGACTTCCTTCAGCTTCCTTCGGGACTGGTGTTCATCGGTCCGGACACCTTCCTCTCTCAAAGTGCTACTTAACACATGGACCATGAATCATCCCCAACGCTATTGACATTTAGTAGACATGGCTTCACAATGCTTCACATCCATAATGGTGTGTACATGTGTGTGCTACCTGCCTTTTCTTCCCGCATCTCTCGCCTTGACCGTGTGGCTGGTCCCCGGCGCCAAGTCCAACTCCACATGCTCCGAGCGCGGCGACTGGTCGTTGTTCTCCCAGGCGAGGCCTTGCTCTGCCAGGTCGAAGCGCAAGACCAGCTCGCCTCGGTGCGTAGCTCGGGCGGTGCGGTGCGGCGCCTGCCTGTCTTCGGCCCGACCAGCGGCTGCCCGGTGGGTCCGTCAACGGTTGAGGTCATGGTGCGAAGGAAGTGGTGCACAGCTGCGCTTTCGGAAGGTAATTAGTGTATGTAGCTGCGCATCTGTGGATTCCTTGTTGATCTTCCTACAGCTGTCCTACAGCTGCGCCACGGCTGATTCGAAGGGGACCGAGGCCCAAACCGCACATCAACGTCTATCCGAATCCCAAGCACTTCAGAACGGACCGGACTATATAAGATTATATATTATGATTATATACTCACCTTGGGGGTGGCTTGAGGGATCCATGTAGCCATATACATTGAGTGTCTGGCTTATTTAACAAAAAATGGTAAACACGCAAAAAAACAGTTTTTGGGCACGACCACACACTTCGATAGGTTTCATCCAGGAATCTGTTGGGAATCCCTATGGGTACAAGGGGGGCACACGAGGACACACACACACACACAAAGGTCGAGTCGACGCGACCGAGAGACCCAATCGGAGCTCCACCTTGGCGTCCAGGCCTCGGGGTCTGAAGCGAGACCTCCGGTGAATCCGGAAGTTGGTGAGTTGGGTGACCTGGTGGCCATCTTGATCCTTACAACAAAAACATGTACACAAAAACAGTATAAGTCAGTGGGTGTAAAGAAGGATTAAATTGGACAATTGGAGAGAATGATTTGTTGATGAACACCATTTACTCTATTAAAACCGAGTTTGTCTTGATCCCGTTAAACACACCTGAAATCACCATCCAGAAGAGGGTGGAAGTCTGGTTTCTTTTTGCACGTCTCCAAACTTCATCTTCCCAAACTTTTCTTGCGTCAGCATAGGTCACCGAGACAGAGATTTGGTGCTGAAAGTGGACTCCAAAAAAGGTCACATCGTGAAGGAACCAGGGACGTTCCTTCCCTCCAAACCATGTCTCTTCTGCCTGAACACCACTAAAGCGGACCGGAGCTCCGCTCGTTCGGTGCGGTGTGGGGGAGGGTGTGCTTCTTTGTAACTCTGCCGATTTCCGTCCATCTGTATGCTCTTTTGGAGCTGCTGGCCAAAGAGTCCAGTCAAAGCTCTTTTGAGTGGATTCTGGAACATGGGAGAGCCTTGCTCGACGGAGGTTCCAAGGGGTGCCTAAGCCTAAGACTGCCCAGAAACCCGACCACCTTGACCCTGACCCCCTGAAACCACCTCCCCCAACCGATCGGTCAACGGTCAACGAGCCAGTTCCATGGCCCATGGACGGTCTGTTTCTTTTTTCTCTCCCTTGCCCCTTAAGCATTCACGATCAAGGATGTGGTAGAACAGGACAAAGCAACCACGGGACGGTCCATCTCGATCGATCCAAGGCACAAGCCCAGAGATGCATATATGTTTGGGTACTATATATCCCATTTAGGGCCCAGTGGATGATGATGATGATGATGATGATGATGATGATGATGATGATGCCTTTCTCAACAATTGCGATAATTGTTTACCGACTGTTACAAGTTTCCTAGGACAACCCATGACAAACCCAAAGTAAGAGAGTGCAGCCTGCCGTGGGCAGCCTGGTGTTATGGATTGACCATGAAGATCCAAGTACCTTCTCAGTGTCTCCACCCTCACCGTACCTGAGAAGGTACGGCTGAATCGCTAGCCATTGACATGAACCATCTGAAACCACTGACGTCGTGCAGCACGCCGAGCGTCCGAAGCTGATCTCGCCGTGCACCTCCCCGGCATCGACCTCCAGCTGCCACTGGAGTGCCTCTGGCTCCTCCGGCTGCTCTGGGCCGCTGCAAATGAACCAGCCTCAAACGGATGGAGAACAAGCACCCATTGCAAAAACGGCTCCTGAAGGCAGGTGAATGTGTCATAAGAGTCATAGATGTTCCTAATTTTGTTGAAGTTTTAGAGGGTCTTGGGCCCTGTTGATCACAACGCCATGTCTTGTGCGAAAAGCTATGTATAGTTTTCCATCTTTTTTTTCCATCGTGGCATAGCATTTTTGGGGATATGTCTGTGGGTGAAAGCCAGGAGCCCCTTTCACCAGGGTAGGTTGACCTCCTCAAGGTAGTCTCTTCTGCTCCTTCTCAGTGGGAAAAGCCAGCCAGACATCCCCTCATCGAATCATGTCCACACCAAGCTGCCATCGTCGCTGGGTACTTCCCCCTCCTTAGAACTGCGATCTGTTAGGAGAAGAAAGACCACTTGGCGGAGCAAAAACGGCGCACAACTCTGCAAAGACTGCAGCAAAAACGGTGACCCCGTCGTTGGTCCTATATGGTTCAGACACCCTTCGTAGAAGCTGTGGTTGAGTCATGAATCTATGGATTGTGGGGGGAGGATGTGTGAGGGGAATTCCCTATGCAGGGGCGTTGAAGGTAGTCCTGGATGCTGGGGAGCGAATTCGTTTCTTGGATGGCTCCCTGAACATCTACTCGCGGTATTTGGGAGTCTCAAACTTTGTCTTGATTCGACAATACCTTGATCCTCTGAAAAATAATCCTCTGAGGGAACAGTGCACCCGGTTGTGCACCATACAAGAGATGGATAAATACCCGACGGCATCATGAATAGGGTCCGATTTGATGCACAAAACCAGCGCTCTCAGACAATCAACCGCAGTGGAATACATAATTTACTCCTTTGAAATACTCGTGCTGCATTGATATTTTTGGAGCTTGACAAATCCAAAAGGGAAAACTGAGCAAACAAATCTCCACAAACATATTGGAACTCATGAAAAAAAACATAAAAAGGGTCTGTTTCTCTACGTTCTGCTAACTCAAAGCTGAGCTTCTGGGCTGCACGTGACACCCTCCTGCAGCTCTCCATCCTTCACCGCCCACCGACGCCCGGACTCGCTGCCGGGCACCGGCTCCGCCGGTACGGGACTCGGCGCCGGCTTCGGCGGACTCGCAAGGCTGCTGCTGGGGAGGAGCTCGAGGGAAGTCACGTCCACCTGAGCGAAGCTCGTCGGTCGACCAAGTCCGTGCGACTTCTACCGATCCTTAAGCGAATTCACCGGAGATTCCAACGGCCAGACCCTTCCCTGAAGGAACAGGAACAAGCAGCAAATAGAATATAGAACAGTAGCGTTCTATGCTGTTCTGTTTTTGATATGGGTTGCATATGAACATCGTGCTCCTCGATGGATTAGTTTGCACATGCGGAAGCTGTCAAGCTCTGGAATTAAGGGACTGTAGAGCCCGCCACTCTGCAAACTCTGTGACGAGGGGTTGTCATCTGACTCCCTCAGTTGTGCTGTGCTGGAAAATCAAGGTTCCAAGGCAAACATCACTATAGGGTCCGAAAGCCAAATCATCGCCAATCGATGTGCCCGAACCCTCGACTTGCTTGCAGCAGAATCATGGAGATGACTGCAGTGGGACTGTCAGTACTACATGATCGATTTCAAAGAGTTTTAGGGCACGGACCTGTCCCAGGTCACTTCTGGTCATCATCCGACCTCTGAAACTGTGTGGCTCAAGGTGCCAAGGGCAAAGACTGCCAGGTAATGGGCCAACTCTTTCGCTGCACAGCCATCAGGCGATTCGGCTGCAAGGCCAGAAACCTCCGGCGCAGGCTGCCACACGAGCCACGTTTGGAAATCCACGCGGAAAGCGCCAAGTGATCACTTCGGAGGAAGAACGTGCTTCCGTCAGGCAATGTGAACACGTCACTTTGGAGGAAAAACAAGCAGGACCCTGGAGGAGCATCCTCTTTGGACGACCTAAAGTTGCGCATGGCCACTTCCAAGAACCCCCACACGAATTCAACACCCAATGCAAAAAAAAGCTCTAGTGCAAACTCTTGATTAAGAAAGAACATCATACTATTTGGAAGAGGTTTACAATCCAAATGATTTGGTTTAGTTTTACTATGTCTTGTTTAAAGGCTTACGCCTGACAGCCGGGCACCGGCTGTAAAAAGGGGAAGGGTTGGGGCCCAGTTCAGCCAGAGAATCTTTAGACGTTACTGCTCTTTCTCGTTCCCTTTCTCTTTGCCTTTCTCTTCCTCTTTCTCCTCCTTCTCTTCCTTGTCTTCTTCTTCCTATTCCCTTTCTTCTTTCAGTTTCTCTACCTCGTCCTTTGCATTTTCTCCGTCTCTTCCTCTTCTTCTCTTCCTATTTGCTTTCTTCGTTATCTTTCTATGTATCTTCCTTTTCCTCTTTCTCAATCTCTTGTTGTTCTCTTTTTCTTGCGCTTTCTCTTTGTTTTTGCTCTTTCTCTCTGCCTTTTTTCTTCCTCTTCGTCTTCTTCTCTTCCTATTCCCTGTCTTCTTTCTCTTCCTCTCGTTGTTGTTTCTTTTTTTCTAAAAGGCAAGAGAAAGAAGAAGAGGCAAAGGAAGAGAAAAGGAAGAGGAGCAGAAGGCAAAAAGTGGAAGACAAAGAACAAGAGAAAGATAATAAGCACGACAAATAAAGAAACAGTGCAAAAGAAGAAGAAAAAAAGGAAGAGGTAAAGCAAGAAGAAAAAGAAGAAGAAGAAAGAAGAAGAAGAAGAAGAAGAGGAGGAAGAAGAAGAAGACAAAAAACAAATGAAGAAGGGAAAATAACATAACATACACACACAAAACAAAGAAAATAAAAGAACAAACCAAAAAACAACAACATAAAGAACCAATAAATACATAAATAATAACATGAAAAGCAAGAGGAGAAGAACCAAAAACACAAAATGCTGATATTGCAAGGCAACTCGGGCAGCATATCTTGCACCAGGGGCCTTTGAACACAACTTGAAACCAATCAACATCAACACACATTTCCAAAAATTGGAAGACCAAAATACACCACAGCCCCCGGTGCCTGGATTGATCAACAGCCTACAAGTCTCAAACAAGCTCCGTCCGAGGCTCGCAGCTGCAGAAAATCAAAAGGACCGAACTTTCCGCCTGTTGGATGTTTCATAGGGAATTCATCGGAAACAAAAACCAGGTTTTAATACATCATCCTGGGTTTGAAAGCCGATCCTCCAAGAATTTTGGTGCTCCACTTTTCCTGAGAGGGTGGCATCCCCGCACCCTGGACGGCCGAGTCACACAGGCCCCTCGCAGCTGAGCTCCGACGAACCTCCCAGAGCTCCGAGGTTCGCGAGCGTCGCAGGTCCGCGCGTGGCCGCCAGGACGTCGGGGAGCAGCGTGTCCACGACCTGGGGAGCCCTCCTCCAACCCAGCAGCCGATGCACCAACTCCACTTCCATGATTTCAGGAAGTGTCTTTGACCACTAAGGCATGTTGCTTTGACCATCTGGACATCTCGAAATTTGCATGGTTGGTCTCTGTAAGGGCTCCACGCTTTATGGGTTGGAGCAGGACTTGATGAAAGTCCAGAATGGGGGTAGGGTGGATCCTGACCCCTCTTCACTGGATCTCAGAAACCTTCCAAAAGGACTTCCTCCATCACAAGCCATAACCCCCCAAAAAAACAGCTCTTCAAATCGTGTAAGCTATTGGACCATCATGGACCGCAGGGGCCTCCATGTCTCCAAATTCTGTCAGGGCCCATGTGGACACGGCACCGTCCAGTTGTCTCCCGACCAGCGCTGCAGTGGCCCCCTCTGGGCGGCGCGCAGGTAGAGGTGTCCGAAGGTGGAACTGGTCCTCGGAAGTGGAAAACACTCCCAGGAATCATCGATGGAAGTGAACAACCACCTATTTAGAAAGGACTGGCATGCACATTCGCATACATTGGGGGTGGTTGCCCGGAATCATCGATGGAAGTGGACAATTCCCTTGGATGGCCATATTCCTTTGCAAAAATAAAAGGTGCCATCCACTTCCATGATGATTCCACTCACACAGCTTCCCAAGAGTCGATTCGCGCATGGGCTCATAAGGCCAGTGGCATGTTTTTCATCCAAAAGACACTCAACTGCTTTTGAGAAGCCTTTTGCTTCTTGGCTCTCTCTACATATTAGTATATAGTCTGAACCTTTGCACAAGAGTAGCCATCCCGGGCTCTGCCAGCTGAACCTACAAACCTGCCGCTGCATGGTTCCTATCACATCAGCGACTGGACTTTGAAAACCCTCCCTAGCAACACCGTCACCTTTCCATCTAATTCGGATTCTTCGGGGTACTAACATGTTCCAGACATTTTGAGAGAGAACCACTAATGTCCATATATAAATGTAAACACACACACACACAAACTTGTTTGTACTTACAAAGCTTGTTACACTGCACACTCACCTTGCCATGACTCTTACCCCGTGCCACCGATCTGCTTTCACATGTACCGCCCTTCCTTCCGAGCTTCGCAGGAGCAGGAGCCTCACTCTCCTCCCAGTGCAGCAGCCGTGCGCCGGCCAGTCCCGCCGCGTCGCCGCGCGTGGGCCACGTGAAGCGTGCCAAAGCACTGGAGCTGCCGCGCGCGAAAAGGCCCAAGTCATGCTGCGAAGCGGCCACGAAGTGCGTACCCTTGGGACACCTGCGACCCAAGGCTGGCTGTGGCATGCTGTGGCTGTGGGTGCGGGTTGAGAAGGAAAGAAGGAGGAAAGCATGCAGTAACCAACACGATCTGAGGTTCATCGGTTGAGTGAACTCCTGTGCTCATGGAAAGGCCCCTGAATCAACCCTAGGTATAGATTTCCATATAGGTACATACACATATAGCCCCAAGCAATCCATGTATGTTGTATATTATATATAGATGCCTACATTGACCCTGGCCAACCACCCCAACTGACCGGCATATATTCCAGTCCGAGTGCACAACACCTGCACAACGATGTGCCTTCCTTTCTGGGTTCCACCTTCCCCTGATTCACCTGAACCTCGCCCCCCCCACCAACCTCAACCCCCAACATCCCCCAACCCCGAATCGGCTCGTCGCTGCCTCCCTGGCGAGTTCAGGACTGAACCCACACCCTTCGGCCACGCAGTGGAAAGAGGTCGACCATCGACAGCAACGTCTGCTGTTGCGCGGCTTTTTTCATTTACAGTGTGGAACAAAAGGAGCTTCAAAATCTTCAAATGCTTCAAAAGTGGTTGGTGGTGTCAACTCTTTTGAAGTTTTCTTTTTCAATAGGGACATATATATATATATATATTAATTAATATGTTATTCCTCACCCTCAAGTAAAGGTTAAACATTTATAGACATAGACATTTACGAAACACCCAAATATCTGGGGCGATGGGAGGCAAAATCCCGCCTCCCACATCAGAACCCGACTCTTTCGCTCACCAAGACGCCAAAGAATTGAAGTGATTGGACTTGTGGAGTCCTTAGATGACGCTAAACCTGGGAAGCCTCACATGGATCTGCAAGTTCAGGTGGCGCCATGCCACACTGCCATACTTTCCATTACCTTCCTACTCTCTTGGATCTGGTCCAGGGTCAAATGATCTTGCTGAAGCCCAGCAGAATTCTGTTGCTTCTAGCAGGCTGGGAGGAAGAACACATCAGAAAAGTAAATAACACATATCATCATATACAGTATACATCTCTTTATGATGGACACTTTGCAGGCCCCTAGCAGCTAGCAGGCAGAATGTTTGTTAGATCACCCCTTCATACGGCTCCTGGTTTTCTGGTTCAGGTTTCAAAGACCTCTCCCTGTCGGATCTCAAGTCTCAAAGCTCCGCACCACGCGATGCTTTTCGAAGGACCACAGCAGCCTCGGTCGAAGCAGTGGAGGACACGGCCCACGGCGGGCACCTTTTCCCAGCAAGCTTTGAGCTTGGCTGTTTTTTTGTGGATGGACATGTTTATAATTTATAAGCATGTTCTTCCCTGTAGAGAAGGGTTCCTACCCGGCCACTTCTGGAGGGCTTTGACATGCTTTGACTCTGCCATAACTAGCGATTTGGACCCTCAAAGGCTTCACCTTTGAGGGTGCTTGATTCTTAGGGTTGTCACCCTTGTGTGGTCAGGAACTTGATGGATCTGCATCTGTCTGTCCTGGCGGATTTGAACAGCTTCACGTTGATGGCCTTGACTGAATCAACGAACATCAATGATTCCACACCAAGGCTTGGAGATGCTTTGGAGGTTTTGTCTGGCAGGTGTTGTTCCAACGTGCTCACTGCGGTGGATCTACAGCCGTCGACCGCTCCTTTGAGTCGATGAGTTCTGGTGGAGAGAGGGGGCGCAATGGGGTCTGGAAGCCTACGGACGGTCGAATTTAAAGCGAAGAAAGCAGACTCCATCTATGGGCACGGCATGGTGTGGGGGGTCAATGGGCACGGCGTCTACGCCAAAAAGATCGAGTGATGAAGCCTTGGGCAAGAACATCCCAACATGTCGTTCTTCTTGCTAGCTTTACGGTGTGTCCCGTCTGCATGTTCATCTCAGTCACATCTTCAACCACCTGAGTACTAATGATCAAAGGCAACTGAGACCAAATATGGTCCATTTCTGGTGTTTCGGGATGCAAGCATGATGGAAGAAGCATTCAATATCATTCAATTTCGTCTGTAGGCCTTAGACCCCAGCCGGCTGCAAGTCTCGTTCGCGCGAAAACCCTGGGGAGCCGATGCTTGAAGGCCCGTCGTCCCCCTCCCGCAGCGCCAAGTGGCAGGCCACCGGCGCCATTGGCCACCAGCAGCTCCGCCGACCCCTCCGCTGCAAGGGCACACACGGGCGAGGGCTGCGCCGCGCGGAAGGCACTCAGACCGGGAACGCAGTAAGAGGCCAAGTGCACACGCCTGGCCGCCACGGTGTAGGAGTTGGAGGCCATCATCGGCAAACACCACCTGTCTGGAACTGGCATATGTCCTACAAGAAAACCCAGGTCAACCACCCCAAAGCTACATGAATATTCCATACATGAAGTGTCTGGGAATGGCAGCAAGTGTTCATGGTCTGGTCTGGATTTCATCGCATCGCAAGCAGCAATTGCGCTGCTGAGTGTCTCCTGCAACAACTGTCCACACATCCTTCTTCTGCTGGGTCAGAACATGGCGACGCTATAATATCCTTTCGAGTGACCCAGCTTGAGCTTCTTGAAATTGAAACATATGACATAGACATAGCCAAATGGATTTTGCGAGGTCAAATGGTTGGAGCAATTATTCTGTAATGTATCTTGATTGAGGGCAACCATAAAGTGATTCAGCCGATGTTATGCTGCTGACTGCCCAACAAAAAGAAACTTACACATTACCTTGGCCAACTATAGCCACACAAAAATGAATCGAACAGCAAAATCATATTGATTACATATATTGGAAATTGTCCATCTATTTTGGCACCACTATACTATTACTAGTAGAACATTCACTCCGGCAAACCACACACGTCGACGGGACGCTGCATCTGGGGCGTCTGGAACGTCGCCCAGCCACTCTCCAACGTCGAAGACTCGCACGTCGCCCTCCTGCGAAGATGATGGCTGTACATGGATGACTCATCAACCGATACCATCGTTTGGGGGGGAAGCCCATCGAAAACCAAATATCGTGGCCAGGTAGACCTGTCGTCCTACAGGTCTAAAACACACCCTACAGATCAAGGACCTCTTTCAACTAGCTGCACTAACCAAAATATTTAAAAACTAACACAGTAAACACAGTATTTATATATACTGAATAGGGTAAAGGACCCCGGTTTTACTGCACAAACATTGCAATCAATCTCCCAAAAAGGTGACCTGCAGGTGATCCACTTCTATACTTCCTGGGTAGGTTTCAGAATGTGACCCTTAGGCCCATGCGTCGCCCCGAATACGCCAACCGACTGGTCCGTCCACTCTGGTCCCGCCTCGGTGCCCAAGAAGACCAACTGCTCCGCCACGCACACGTCGCAGGCGCGCACCGCAAAGCGCAGCTCGGCCGCGGCGGGTGGCGCCTGCGCTGCTTGCGCCACCGGTGATGCGTCGGCCAAGTCCCACCTGGATCGGCACGTGGTTGACAGGCCAAAGGACCGAGACGGTTGACGACCATGGATTGGTCCGTTCATGGGTGCCGCATGGCGCCGTATGGCTTGGATAAACTCAAGGTCTCCCTTGGATTGGAGGGGTCACCCCTGACCAAGCAACCCTGAACAGGTCAAACTGGGACACCGGGACAAAAGCCGTCAGCCTCTCCCAGGGAGTAATGCTAGCAAGTGGTTAGGAAACTCCCTGTAGCTCCTTGGTTCCCTGTCCAGCTACGCAAAACGATGTAAATTTAAAGCAGTCTCTCTTGTTGTTGTGTTCTTTTTCTCTCTCTCTCGCTCTCTATTCCTTTCTCTCCAACCCCATCTCAGGGCAAGACTGCCCCTGCTGGATCACATTAACAAACCATTATAATCCATAATCCATTATATATAATAAGAAGCTTTTTTCCTGGCAGCCAGAGCCCTATCTCTCCAACCGCTGGAAACCGCCCCAACGTCCACTGAAAAACCACCCGAAAACCGCCTTTGCCGAGCGGCCACTGTGCGATCCAGGTGGACTTCGGTGGATCGTTCTCGCTGCAGGCCACCCGTGCCGAGACGCCAATCAAAAGGACGAGGCCCGGCCTGGCAGCAGTGGTGGGGGTCGACCTGGTGGGGGCGGACATGGCGGAGCGCCCCTGACTCCGTGGTAGGTTCACCTCCCTTTACTAGTCCTTTAGTAGTCTGAACTCTTTTGAAGTGGAAAAACAATGGAAATTCGAAAAACATATGAAAAAAAAACAGGGTCCCCCAGGTGCCATGACCCACAGACTGGGTCGTGTCACCTGCGTGGACCACGGACTGGGACCCGCTGATTTCGAACCACCCCTACTGACCCGGTTGAACCTGGGATGTCAGTTCTGGCCAGTCTATAATAGGTAGCAGTCTCTAGTCTCTAGACGTCACTAGGCCGGGTACCGTCCGGGACCTTCTGTTCCTTTCCAGTCACCGAAGAGAATGTCAAGTTGGGGGTCCCAAAGATTTCGTCGTTTTGGGGGTGGTCAACCACGTGGAACGAGCACAACAAATGCTCTGTGGCATGGCGTCTCATAACCATAGACTTTCAACCACAGCCAGGAAGTTCTTGCCAACATATACAATATAATATGCATGCGTTCCATACAAGAACAAAACACAGCTTGTTAACTTCTGATTCGCAGGACGAATCAAAGGTGTCAACGGCGTAGCGGCTTGGCACGGCGTAGCGGCACGCCGTGTCTCTTCATCTTCGAATCCCTTTTATAAGGTTCTATCCGGCCGATCAGCTTCAACAATCTCTATGGGAACTCAATTGCAGCAAGGACTGATGCATGACATATCATCCAAACTCCCATGCTTGACACCACCTTGACAGTGGTTCTGTTTCACACCGATCCGAAAAAATACGGATCCCAAGGAAGTCACCCATCGGGGTCCGCCTGGGGAGCAGCAAGAGTTGGGGCTGTACTGGTGCAGCTGGATTTCTCAAAGTCACGTCCAAATCCTGCGATGACGTTGGCGGAGCAACGCTGGTTTACCCCCCGTCCCAAGCGTCAGGCGAAAGGACCCGACCTGTTCGCGGTGGTTTTGACCCTCACAAGTAGGGTGAACTGGACCGAAGCAACATGTAGCAGTTGGTTCGGGTCCATGAGCCTCTGGGACTGTTATAAATGATTGTAAATTAAACAACCTGTGGACAAGTGGACAAGGCCTTTTGTGGGCCGTGTGCCCTGAGGATCTCTTAGGAGAGATGAGGCGTGGTATGGTGCGAACAAATACATCGTCACGACTCTTCAGTCACTACATGGCAGCCAAGCGCCGGAAAAGGCAATTTGATTTAAAACTAAACATTTAACTGGCTAAAAAGGCGGCATCACCTGTGTTTTACGGCATGGGCTGAAATAGGAAGTGGCATGTAGCGTTGGTTGAGGCTATCCAAGGAAAACACAGATCAGAGTAAAGGACCAAAGGGGAACCTATATTTCATATATGTTCAGCATGCAGCATGGGGCCATCCAAAGTTCATGACCCCAAATAATTTAACTTGGGTCCAATGAAATTTGCGCTTTGGGCTAAATGCCAGTCCAAACTCAAGACTCTGACCAGTCGCTGAAAAAGTTGCCGAAACTTTGATATTCTGGCGGAAAAGGTGCGCCTCAAACACAGTGGTTAACTGTCCATTGAGACCATCTCCCACTAACAGGTCCTGAGCAATGACGCGCACATGCCCAGCGTTGGTGGCAAAGGCCACCGCGGAAGACGAAGAGGTCAGGGTTTCAGGGACCGCGCCCAAACCCAAAAGACCTCAGAGCGGAGACGTAACAAAACAATTCAATTTTACTAATGGCAGTATACTTGGATTTGATTATTGTAGTTGATCACATTTGACCAGCATCTGAACTCATTTGCTGGTCGTGTTTTTTTGCGGGAGTGTTCCCCACCCCACTCACACGACCTTGGGACAGGAATGCAAGCCGGCCGACCCATTGAGACCTTTTCAACCAATGTACAGTAGGTAACAATTCGATAATTCCAGACGCGACCCTGGACCCTCATATGGAGGGGTCGGACCCGAATCCTCTGGAGGAGTCGGACCCGAATCCTCTGGAGGGGTCCGGGGTCGAACCAATCCCTAGGAGTTGAGGGGCCAAGGGCTGTTTGGAGCGTCTGGGTTAGGAACTAGGTCAACATACAAGAGAAGAACCCACCATGCTTAGCATGCAGTGAGCTTTTGTTGTTGAACGTGTCCTAAGACAACGTGGACATCAAAAGGCTTGCAATGTTCCAATTGCATGGGCTATAGTGTTCAAATTTTGTATGAACATTGGCTATTATATGTATTATATTATATTGGATCTGTATATGGTCTATAATGTCCCAACCCTAAAAAGACAAGACAACACATGTTCACTGTAATTTCTTGGATCGCGCCATGTCGCTACCGTCGTTCGAACTGGCACCTGTTCACCTGATCGAATCTGCACATGGAATGGGAACAGTTGCTCCCTTGAAGGCTTCCTTAGCCAAAAGAAACACAAGCTTGGAGGGTTTGCCAAAAATACTGCAAAAAGAACCCTGCCAATTCCACACTGCACCTGCGAAACACATCCTCCCATTCTGTTGTCCATAAGACCTCCGCCATCCTCTACCAAAGCAGGACCATCACAACCTCAAGTCCCAATCCCAACCAACGGTCCAAACTGATTTTTGGCACAGCTCGGCACCTTCATCCACCAGCTCCAGCTTCTCGGCACACAGCTGACCCCGATAGCCTTCAGTCTTGGGGCCCTTGACCTGGTTGACCTGCGAGCGAGTCATGCGCCCCACGAGACCGAAATCCCTCGCGAAGGCGGTCCCGCTTCGGTGGCCTTCGACCCCGGTGGCACCCAGCCACCCCAACCACCGAAAAACGAAATGGAGGTATGGCCCTAGGGGAAGTATCCATGGGACTGGAATAGTATGGAATAGTTACTTGCATGGATAGGCCGCTGTGCTGATCTGCCTAAGGACATATCTATATAGTGGCTTTATGAGAGTGAGCACTCCAATACAAAACATGACAAATCTTACTTTTGATACCCGGCAAAGCGGAAGTGCTACTGTAAGGCGTGCCACAGCATGATCATTTAACATATTGTTTATATAAGCTTATATCATTATCCATGTGGGGTCCTTACTGATCCCAGGATTCCGGCCACTGGCTGCGCGTCCGGATATTAGTGAACAAAACCACATGCCTTTTCTATCCTTTTCTCTGTGCTATATTGCTATCTGCTATAAGGAAGCCATGCCAACCGCGGATAAATCGGAAAATATGCGCGTGTTTTGGCACGCGCATGTTGCTGCTCCAAAGGAAGCCTTGGAGATGTGCCCGAAGACAACTCAGTCACCCTCGACTGAAGAATCGACCCTTTCGTCAAACAAGATGGGCCAGGCCAGAAGGCTGACAAGGTTGAAGAAAGAGGAGGAGTTGTTCCCGTCGATCAAGCCTAGTATAAGCTAGGTCCAAAATTTATAAGACGTAGGCTTTCCTATAGGTCTCTATATATGCAGTAGGTCGTTCTAAGGTGATAGATAGTCATGCTCCGTTTACGTCTACGTAAGGCGAAATGACCAAACCGTGGCCAAGGCAAAGGGGAACAAGTCTGGGCATCTCTCAAAGCATTCATATTGACCAAACCTGGCTGCCAGAGTCAGGTCTTTCTGTTTTTTTTCAATGACCCAATGTAGCCATGTGGCAGTCTGTCAAGAATCTGTAGCCTCCCAAACCCTGGGCCCGGTGTTCTCCGAACATCACTCGTAGAATGTCAGGGTTGCAGCCAAGGGGCTGCATCCACCAACTTGCTGAAGCTGTCTTTGAAAAAAGCCATGGTCGCCGAGCAGACCCGCCGCAAACCACAGAGTTGGCCGAGCAGTTTGGTGTGTCTTTTTTATCCATAGTTTGGTGTGGAGAGTTGCATAGATAAGCGGAATTGGGGAATTTCGGAATGACAAAGAACATGGAGCTGAGCAACCAAAGGAACACAGTGTCCTCAGTGTTGAAAGGGTGGGTGGGGGTGCATGGGTTCGTGCTCAAACTGTGCTCAGGTTCCTGATCCTCTTGTCTCACGTTTGTTCTGAACCAGTTCTCCATCCCGAACACTCTATGTATGGAATAGTTCCATACATTCTATTCCATACATTTACTGTACCCTGATGCATGTAACTATTCCATACATGGACCGGATGGTCTGCGCGTATATAGAGAATGCATGTTGATGGTTCAACCATGTTTAACCGCTCACCTGAGATGCACATGGCTATAAGACGGGGAGTACTTGTCAGCTTGTCGCTGTAAGAAGTCTGATTCTGATCCCTATATGCAAAAAGTATAACCACCCCTAGACAACATTATACTAAAATATACTATAAATATGGTGCACCAGGTTTGCCTTCTTTTTTGATCTTTGGCGTTCATTGAGCCACACATTGGCCCACTCAATGTGAGCCACTTCTGCAAAATGAATCACCAAAAGCTTCTGGCCCAATCAGCCAACCGCATACCTCCCGGTTAGACGTGGTTTGGCATTAACTTCAGATCAGCCTCTGACAAGCACCTTGGTTTGCGACCAGATTTTGGCTGCCAGGGCCTGTGGGGAAGTATCTTGGTGAGGTGTTTGACTCGTCCTCCGGTATGCAATGATTGGTCTTCGATCCCCTCTGGTCACTTGGTCTTCCTCAGGTGAGCGGCATCAGCCGGACCAAACGGCATCCGTCTCGTGGACTTGTCCCAAACGATCGTCGCGCGTGGCGCTACAAAAGGAACCAGAGTTACGCGTACGCGTAATGTCTTTGGAACGTTCTTTATACATCTTTATACTGCATCCGACTGGGCTACAGTATCCAAAAACAAGTCTCAAGTGGACATGATTTTCTACCAGAAACCATCTGCCTGGAAGGCAGGGCGGGTGAAACACCCTTTGCGTGCCTTCCGTAAGGGAAAGCCACGGTCGCGTCACGTCACCCGTTGGGAGTGCCGGAAGCGACGGTCTCCGTCCGGCATCCGTCAGCCTTCTCCTTTTCCCGGAAAAAGAACTGACTGGTGCAACTCGTTTGGTGAGTGAGGGAATGGATCCTAAGATATCCTGAGGTATATCGCATATAGCTATGCAGTCAGCAATCTGAGCAAAAACCGGTCTCTGGGCACCAAGTCTCACCAACAAGTATTATTGCTGTTGGTTCTTTCTTTTCACAGTGAAAGTGATCGTTGGGCCAAAAGCAAAGGCTTTTAAGAGTTCCTATTGACCAATCCCTTACCCAACCAACAGCCCAGAAACCACTCAATCCAAAGCGGGTCCCCCATTGGCTAAAGAAAAGAATACATCAAGTGGCTGTGGGTCAAAGCCAGGATACCTTGGTTGACCTACCGACGAAACTTGCGCATCAATCCAGATCGCTTCCCACAGCCCTTCATCGTATTGATGGGTACTGGGGAGTTGGTGAAATTCAGAAGGCGTATGAGATGGGTACCCATACCTACCAAAAACTGCACAACATCGCACGCAAAACGCCTCTAGCTAAGTGAGACCGAATATCCGCGCAACCCCAAGTGGGTGTAATGTCGAGACGATGGCCCATGAATTACTTATCTAATTATGCGGCACCGGCGGAGACAAGGAATCTAGATTGCCGCCTTTGTTCCAAACCTCCCTTAGCTTCTTGCGAAAGTGGTAGCACTGGGAGTAATCAAGATTGACCACGGTATCGACTACCAGAGTGACATGGCATAACTGCATAGGAACAAGACCCAATGGATGGTATGGCGGTTTGATTCCTAAGTCCTTTGCATACTGCTGCAGTGTTTTTTGTGTGGCATCTGAATTAATGAATTGTGGACGCAAAGGGAAACCTCCAGTATAAGTCCTACCCCAACCGACCTGGACCAGACTACTGGCAGCTGTCTTATGAAACTTCGGATACAGCGGTGTATGGCAGAAGCCTTGAAGATACTGAATGATGATACGAATTGCGTCCGCCTGTTCACGAAGTGATCGCAGTTTGACCGGAAGTGCCAACACTTCAGGTGCCTGAAAGTGATGGGGTCGAGCTCTGGATTTATTGGGTGGTTTAATCCAACACGGGAACTGAAGTCCGGTCTGTAGAATAAACGCAATGGCAAGTTCATGCCATGTGATGCCGGATCGCGTGACTGCGTCATGATCACTATCTGGGTCTGGCCATCGCAGGGACAGGAAAAAATTTAAGACTAGTTTTTGCATAGTCAGCCCCCCATAGGCATGCAGTGAATACGTGTGGATGGATATCAGGCTGAGAAATGACTACAGGATTCATTACCTGATGATGGGCACGGGCAAGATGAATTGTACCCCAATTCTGGTCAGGGTTGTCATCTTGGTTTTCTGCATCCCTGAACTTTGCCTGCTCTTTACGTTGGACATGGGCTAAATTAAGATCAAGAAGGTATCGCAGCACCCTCCCAGTTTGGTAAATTTGAGACTGATTCCATGCCTCAATTCGGGCAAAAAGTTGGTGATTGTCGGGATGATCTGTTTTTCGGGCCTTGACAGCAGCAATGTCGGCAAAATCATTACCTACAATGTCAACTTCTGCAAGTCGGGTGGCGGCTTGAGATGCCACCTGATGCGATTTAACCTTTCGCAAGACAAATTGGCCATGGACCCAGTGAGTCTGAATGCTCTGGAGCAAGTCGGCGTGTGCAGTTGTATGAGGAACAAGAGGACTTGAGGCTTGCGTTATGTTGTGAATGGCATTAATGGCATACTGGGAATCCGTTGTAATTACAACTTGATGGGATACTGCGGCTTGACGACATTCTTGAATTATCCATGCAATGGCTGCTAATTCAGCTCGAGAAATTGTCTGGCGTCCCTGAACATGCTGAACCAAAACGGTACGATAAGGAAGAGATTGATTGTCGGGGTCATATTGGATAACGGACCATGCTGCTCTCTGGAATTCTGTTAAGGTAGGAGTGTCGGCCGATCCATCTGTATAAAGAAAAATGCATTTGGCAGCCGTCTGGATGGTGGCGGGGCAAGCTATCTGGCCACGTTGCGAAAGCAAGAACCTAAGACGATGAACAGATTCATGCTGGAGTGGAAGTGGGAAGTGCAACATATATGGATTGGCTTTAAGGATCTGTATAGCAGCTGGATGCAACGCCCTTATGGGATCAAAATCTGGGCATTCTAGTTGTCGGTGAGCGTGAGTGTCCAGTTGGCCGCAGTAGGGGCATTTGCCGTCAGTTGTACTAGACCACTGCGCCTTGACCGCCCCAACCTGGTAACCTCCAGTGATGTCCTTGGCGAGGATTTTAATTTCCGTGGAGGTAAGTCGACTCAGGACTCTTTGGAACAGACTAGCGTCAAAAGGCAAGTTGGTGACTCCTTTTCGGTGCTGAGTTTGCCGAAAGACGACTTCAGTCCACGCTCGACGTAACCATTTTCGGATATCGCGTGGAGTATCTAGCTTAACCGAGATTTGAATATTACCCGGACAGGACAAGAGACCATCTGGGGTAAGCTTCCAGTGGACTCGTTGAAGATAGCAGGCTAATGCCCCGGCCGGCCCATGAGGATGGCCAACATGACTGCAAACTGCCAGCAGAAATGATTGGGCTTGATCTGGGTGATGCATGAACAAACGTCGAAGAAATGAAAGGGCAGTACACAGGACATAGAGGAGAGGGTCTTGCAAGCGAGGTGACAGGAAATGCATGGCCATCCAGGAAGATGCCTGCTGTTCTGGACCTACCAAAGCCGTCGTTGCCGCACGGCGCAGCTCTTTAAAATGGGCTTCTCCAACAAGTTGGGACTCCGCTCCAAAGAATGCATGTGGCCATATGGCATTTTGGATAAGGTCCGCCTTTTGGGCTAAGTCTGTAGCAATGTATGTAAGACGTTTACACCTGGTCGCAGCGCTTAAAAATTTTTCTTTGAGGTGACCCAAAACCACCTGCTTGGTGTAGTGACACATACACCCGAGATCTTTTGCCGAATTTAGTATACGAACTTCTTGGTGATCTCCCATTGTTTCATTCAAAGTTGCTTGCCATTGATCTCTGGCTACCTTTGTAGTCCCCCAAGCCCATGATTTTTGATAATCAATTTGTAATCGGAGATCAGTAGCCATCTGACGAATGCGGTCGAATGCTTGGTAATTTTCTCTTTGAGAACACGTCAAATATGACCAATTATCAGCATAACAGAATGGATCAAGTGTTGGGCTTTGAATGAGCCAATAAAAGGCAGATGACAAAACAAGCATGCTACACGCAGACATGCTATCCCCTTCAGGGACACCTGTCGTCATGGTTAATGGTTCACCAATAGCTAACCGTACTTGAAGACGGCGCGTCATCTTTGTCAGATTAAGAAACCAAAACTGAATGGCATCAGATGGGGCTCCATGATAGATCAATAAATGGTAGATGACACGGCGAGGTAACAAATTGAATGCTTTGACCAGGTCAAGTGTAAAACCCATCCAGGCCTGGTTATTTTTCTTACAAGTCTCTAGTTGGAACTGTTGCATGAAGGAGATGTCTTTGACTCCTCTGTGTGGTAGACCTCCGGCAATGGCTACTGGCCAAAGTTGTCCCCAATATCTGAGCAACTGATCTGCTATGATTTTGGACGTCAGTCGAGGTATGTAGCCAAGAATCGTTATGGGACGCCCATCTCCTATTGCCTCTGGTGGATTTCGTTTTGCTAGTAAAACAACACGAGCTATCATATGATCTTTATGCAAACCCTGATGCCAGATCTGGGAAAAGATGTGGGCCAATGATGCAATTGCACTCGGTGGTAAAAGTCGAAACTCCTCAGCACGCCAACCATCAATGCCTGGTGCCTTATATGGTCGGAGCCTGGAAATGGTTTGCTGAACAACGTCAGGTCGATGCCAGACTAT